CATCAGGGTGGCTGGGCACAGAGCTGCAGCACGCTGGGACGGGTGCACGGGTGAGCAGGGTCCCATGTCCCCGCAACATGGCGAGGCAGCCCACAGTCCCCCTTGCTGCCATCTGCCCATGGGACAAAACCAGTATCGCCTTCGTCACCCAAAAACCTCTCCTGGGTAGCCTAACATGGTATGGGGGCACTAGGATGGACCATGGTGCAGGGAAAAGGCAGGCCAAGGCACAGCCAAAGAGACTGAAAAGACCCAGTTCTCAGCACAAGCAACAATTTGATTGGGAAAACTTGATGTCACCCTTATTTTAAGCATTAGCAAATTATCTACTACTAATTACAAAATGTTTGTAATTATTATTTTTTTTTTTAAAAATCATTTCATAAATCCTGCACTCTGCTATTGTTTCCGGCCTTCTGTGATGGATAAGCGGAGGAAATCAATAATTATTGCGAGGGCTGCTTAGTGGGAGGGGAGGATAACGAGGGAAGCAGCACGGGGCCGCTTGCTCCTTGACATTCAACTGGTGGGACATGTCCCCCCCACTACCCCTTTCCCAAATCCAGCCCTCCATGCACAAGGCAGGAGGGAAGGACAAACAGAGAAGGGAGACAAAGAAACCAAAGGGATGAACAAGGCCAAAATAAACGCATACACAGCTTTGGCAAAGGCTCAGCACAGCCCGGCGCATCGGTCAGCAGCTGAAGAAGGACTGGGGGACCCGGACGCCGATGGGGCAGGGGACCAGCTGCCTTGTGGAAAGCCATGGATGCCTGGGAGCAAGGATGCTCGAGGAACAGCCTCTGCATCACAGGCACTGCAGCCCAGCTTTGTTCTTAATTTGTGAGGTTTGTTTTTTTTTTTAATTTTGCCATCCCTGCTAGCTCAGATTTCCAGCTGTTGCAAGCAAGCAGGTCAGTTTGTTATCCCCAGCCATGGCAGCTTGGAGGCTCCCAACCACACTACGACAGGAATTTGCCAGGAGGGAAAAACGAAAGCGAGACGACAAACCCAGGAAGCAGCAGGACTGCTCTCTCGCCCCTTCTCCCTGCGTTTATAAATACAAAGTAAAAATTGAGCACAAAGCTGATTTAGATACAGACTTTTTCTTTTGCTGGCTTCTCTGTGCAGCTGAGCTATTGCCTGGTACTGGGAAGGTCAGAGAGAAAGTCAGCGTGATTCCAGCAGACACAAATTCAGTGCCCCATCCTCAGAGTCAAAAGGGATAAAAGCTGAGACACCCACAATTGCTGTCATTCTAGTGAGGCGTTACTTGCCATCATTAGGTTTCAGAGTGAAACACAAGCAGAGAAAGGGTTTAATAATTTTCCTCGAGAAGAACAAGCAAAATCCACCCAGCATGCTCATCCAAGGCCTCGGATGATTTCCCTGGCCTCCCAACAATCCCCGCTCCCGCTTTTCCTCCCACCTCCTCCCCAGCATGATGATGCATTGCACCTTGACCACACAAGGAAGCCATAAAGCAAGGCTGAGGGACGGGGCAGAGCAAGACGAATGGATTTAATATCAACCCGAACGGAGTGTGGGCTATTGCACCAAATGAATTATTCATTTTGGATTCAATAACAGCCTCCATTTCGCATTGGCCCACAGCTCTCACGGGCACGAGATGCCGAAGAGGATGGGGTAGGCAGTCCCACTGGGTTTTCGGGTACAGCATGCCATCACCCAGCTGAGAGCAATGCAGCTTCGCACCAGCCAGGAGGTCTGTGCCAAACCCAAACCAGCCCGGGACGGAAACAAATAATGGGGCAGATCAATAAAGAAAATCTCCCTCCCTCCCACCCCTGTCTTAGCGTTGTGGTGATAATGACCCCCCATCACTATGACCCTAAAACACAACGATAATCTCTTCGGGACTCGAAATACCCCCGATGAAGATTGCGCTCTGCCTGTGCCTTTTGCGAGCAGCTAAGTGCCGATAAAAGCTGGTATTAATGAATCCCTCAGCGACCCCAAGCTCTGCTGTCAGCACGAAACCGCTCCGGTCTAATAGCCCCATGATAGGCACAGCCTCTATCCCAGGGGGTGGGAGGGATGAGATGAGGGCTGGGGGAGCTAAACAATTCAAGCCTATTTTTTTCCCCACCGCTGAGGAATTAAGCCCATTTTCTCAGCCTTAAAATACTGAGGGATTTTTTTTTTTTTTTTCCTTGGTGACAATTCCCCCAGGCTTGTTAAGTGGCTTATCTCAGGTTGACGAAGGCTTTGAGCAGATGTCAGGAGAGTGTGCTTCCCAGGAGCCGGGGTGTGATCCTGGCAGCATCCCTGCGAGGCGAACCCAGCAGGTGAATAAGGCAGGGGAATACAACCCCTTCGAGAGCACGAAGACAAATAGAAAACCAACAAATTATTATTTCTAAACCTTGCAGTGTGCCACCTCCTGCCCGCCGACCTTTGGGAAGGGCAGCAGTGGGCTCAGGTCTTCCCTCGTGGTCTCCAAGGTCCACGGGGATATAAGGAGGAGCTTGACGGCCAAAGGGTGCACATGAGCTACCAAGAAGCCAGAGTCCAACCCAAGGTCAGATTTTTACTCAACTGCAGTTAATTTTCCAACAGTCCTAATGTAAGCCCCAGCTCAGGCTTTTAGGACTGGTTTTAGTGAACTTCCAGGAGGGGCTGGCAGGTTTATTGGTTTTGGGTTCCTCACCAGGAGCAGGACCTTCAAACACACAGGTCCCATCGGCAATCCCAGCCCAGCCTTTTGTCCGTCCTCCTGACGTGAGAAGTGGGAAATACTCCCACAGGACTGGGAGAGGGGAGTTATCGGAGCTCTGCTCCAGAGACAGCATCGTACCAGCACCCAACAGCACCCACAGGATCATCAAAAAAGCATGGTCCCATCACCACGCACGTGCTTGGTGCCATTTAACCACCTGCTTGGTCTGCACCCACAGTGTACTTTTGTGCCTTTCAGGATCCCAAATGCTGCTGGTCAATGCATAAAGGACATTTCTACCCCCTTAGACCTGCCAGGACCCTGAATTTTCCCCTCAAGGAGCCCAAATGCAAAGCGTGCTCCCCACACAAAGGCAAAATGCTTGCCAGGAGCTCTGCAGAGCCCACACTCGGGTGGTGCAAGGGGTTTCTCCTTCAGCATCAGTGCTGCTAAGAAGTGGGAGCACGGCTGGAGACAGGTGCTGTGGCACAGAAAACTCAGCAAATTCCCAAAACACAGGGGTCTGCTCGGTGCAGCTTTGATAGTATGAACACATCATGACCGTTCTGGGGTTTGCACAAGAAAAGGAAACAAAAAAAAGCCATGGACATGGGTCTAATGCCCACCCTGAGCCTGTTTGCTTCCATGCCTCTCGTGTCCTGCTGTCCTCCATCCTCTGCCCTGCCCCAAACTACGAGCACTGGGTAGATGCAACACGCTTCTCCTGGGGGGGTTAGAAGTATTCGAGACTCCAACTTCCTCCACCACCCCGTCCAGCGGCAGATAGAAAGGTCAACACCACCAAAACCTGCGGCAGTTTTATATTATCATTGTTTTCCTACATTTCTGGCAAAATGACATGATTTCCCAATTCCGGTCTTTAGCTAAAATTAGTGTTTATTTTTCCATGATGAGAAAATGTCATTTTGCCATAAAACCATGTGCGCTTTCTGTTTGTTTATTCAATAGCAGAGGAACGTCTTGCCAGAAACGCTCCGGTTTACGAAGAGCCCTCCCTCCGATGGAGCACTTCAGTTCCTCATGGGAACAGACCATCTCCTGGTGGGAACAAAACCACATTCAGGGTCAACCGTGAAACTCAAAGGAATCCACCGGCGATGCTGCTTGATGTGAAAGCAAGGCATGAGCGCACAGACTCCAGTGGTTTCCCAGTTGTCAAAACCCTGGCACGAGAAGGCATCACCAATCCCCACCTTGGCCAGGCAGGAATGTGTTTTTTCATGGTGAAAACCTACACAAGTTCCCAGGTTTAAAGCAAATGAACAGACAAGTTTCTCCATAGCTTGAATCCCAGCTTTGCCATTTTCATATATCTGGAATTACAGGTGGAGAAGAAACACCGTGGTGGCCACCCCAAGGAGCATCACAGCCAAGCCTGGTGCTACACGTACTGCCACCTGCACCAAAAGAGGTCCAAGTCAGACCTCTTCCCATCACCCCCCCCAAAACCAGCCCACTTTGACACCTGCCTTTGACCTTCTCCTTCTTCCCAACCCTTCCTTGACCTGGTGGTGCCCACCTTCTAGAAGCTATTTGGAAAGCACCGATGAAATGGGGTTAGCTTCTCATGCAAAAAGCCCTCTTCTCTTCCCTCCTTCCAAGCAGTGTACAAAAACAATACCTTAATTTGGGAGAGGAGAAGGAAAGGGCAGTGAGTAAATCTAACAGAAAAAAAAATAATCCTCCAATGGTATTTGGGAAATATTCATCAGAACAGTGAAAAGAGATGAAAACCAGCGAGTGCTATTTCCATATTTATAACCCCACGCTGCGGAGGACTCCAGCAGGCAGCAGCATGCTGGCGGCGTGGCTGGGGGAACCCAAAAAAACAGCAAAAAAATTCCAATTAATGCCGAGAATCAGAGCGGCTTCGCTGCAGTCGGGCCTGACGGCGGCTGCTTGGCTCCCGCAGCTGTGCTGGGGAAATAACGAGGCAGATGAAAGTGGCTCAGCCGGCGAGCGCCGGCCTGTGAGGCACTTTGAAGGCAGCAGATCACAGAGGCGGCTTCCAGTGGGGGCTTCCAGTGGGCTCGCGGCGGCAGCTGCACCAGCACCCGCATCCTCGCCACGCTGCTTGCCGAGTTTGGCCGTTGACCGGAGCACACTGGGAAGCCACAGGTTGACCACTGCTCCCAAATCCCTGCTTGGTCCCCAGAGTAACACCGCTTCAGGGCAGGTAAATGGTGCAGAGCTTATTTCACAGCTGGCATTGCCTAAAACAGCTTGTTTGGCGATGAACATTTTGTTAAGCAAAGGTTAAAAACAATAAAAGTGCCTTGTTACCCAAAGCCAACTTTACCTTTACAAGCCACATTGTTCTCCGGCTCATAACCAGCCTTGCACGTACAGCGGCCGATGGGGACCATCCACTCCCTGTCCCCGTTGCAGTACAGTTTGATGGGCACGTCCACCTCCTCGGCGTTGGGGATGCAGGTGCCGCGGGCAGTCACTAGAGAGGTGCTCTCCGCTCCTGTCATTGTCTCTGGGAAGATGGCGAAGTTCTGCACCACGCTGGGGCACTTCTTGAAGAAGACCCTGACGGACAGCAGAGACATACAAGCTCCATAGTCCTGGAAAGCCAGGTAAAAGCCATTGCGGGTCAGGGGCCCGAAACTTCTCACTTCTGTGTTCACCTTCATCAACCTGCCACCAAAGTCCACCTGGGAGAAGCTCTCGTCAGCAGCAATGGTGTCCACTTTGAGGTAGGGTGCCTCCGTCCAGAAGGCAGACTTCTTGGTGGCAATGACAGAGTCTGTCTCGTAGTAGTAAAGGTTGAAGGTCTCCTTGCAGGAGCCGGGGACATTGGGGAGGCTGCTGCAGTCCCGCACAGTGAAGCGCATCTCGGTGTAGATGCGGTGAGCTCCACGCCGGTTGATGAACGTGGTGAGGAGCCAGTTGTTCTGGTTGGGCTCGAAGACATTGCACACCTGGTACGTACGGATGGTGTTGAGGTTTTCGTCGTAGCCACTGACTTCTTCCCACTGTAGAAAGGAGAAGGGAGAGAGGGCATGAGAGGATGGCAGAGGGACAGGCAGTGGCTCGTAAGCTGTGGAGGTGCCGCTCACCCTGCGCAGGGCAGGGCTGGGCTGGAACAAGGATCCCAAAGCCCCAAAGGGGGGCAGGAACATGGTCGTGGACACATGATGTGGTGCATGTGCAGAAACACCACCTGGGTCAGCACCAGATGAAATCCTCACCCTCTTGCCCCTGCCCACACATGCCTGTTCCCTCTCCCCATCGCTCCCAGCTGATGCTAAAACATCTTTTCCATGCAGGCAATCACCTTAGCTGCCCTGGAGAGGACATAAAAATGGGAAGAAAGATGGTCAAGGCACCTGGAGACAGGAGGGAAAGCAGCACACAAGGCTATGCCTTCATTAAAGCCCGAGCCAGCAAGTGGGCTGGAGAGCAAGTCTGACCCCAGGCTCTCGGCATGACAGGATCACTTCCCCCAGCAAAAAAACTAACTAAATAAAACATTACCGCTGCAGAGAGGGAGAATATAGATTTGCAATTCGATTTATAGAAAGGCATTAATATAATCCAGGCTGCAATTTCAATTAAGGGACAGCGGCAAACTGTGAATAGTCTATGATGGCATTAGAGTCCTACAGACAGATTTACAACCTCATAATCCATTCATTTTAACTAATCCATGTTTACAGTCTTCTCATAACAGCATTATTCATATGGCAATCTTTAAGCAGCACTCTGAATACCATGCATAATTTCCAGTAGCGATGCTATAGCAGCGCTCACCCGTGTTTGTGCTTACATGGGGGCACAACAGTAGATGGGTGATGCCAACCTGCCCCATCATGTTGAGTCTTCCCAAAGAGCTGATGCACTACAACCAACCCTGCAACCTTACAGATTTTGCCCTCTTCCGTTTTCCATCAAACAACCACATTCCTCACCTGCTCCCCAGCTTCCCCGTTGTACACCACAGCCCTGATGTAAAAAAACACAGGTTTTTATTCTGTTTTCAAAGCAGGGTCCTCCACACGCTGCCAACAAGCACAGCAGAACGTTTGTTCCTGGGTCCACCTACTCAGCTCCGCTAAGTTTAAGCAAAGATTGCAGCTCAAGGTTGCACATTGTTGTTAAGCAATGTTTACCAAACCAGCAATAAAACCTCACGCATCCAGCCGAGCGCTCTCCCTTCTCATCCCACGCCGCGGAAGCACTGCAGAAACTCCACCCTGGACAAGACGTGCGGATTCAATGGCCTTTCATTACCAGATACATTTTCACACAAGAAAGCTGCAAGGTCCTACCCAACCTCGGCTTTGCATTACAGCTCTCTCATCCAATTAACGCCAGACAACGAGCTCTCTTTCAGTGCTCCTCTGCCAGCGTTAACACTGGCCCCATTGCTCCACTGTCTTTGCTGCGGGAATCCTCCTCTTCATCCCGCCCACCAGGTCCGGTGGTCCACCCACCACCCCAGCTGGGTGCACAGGAGGTGACCCAGCCTGCTATCCTTTTATTCACAGTGCCCATCAGGGAGCCGGCTCTCTCAACAGCTCCTTCCACCGAGCATCCCCTGCATTTTGCTGCATTTTTGTCGAGGGGTTGCAAACAGAGCCTCAAAACTCAGAGCCAAAACCTGCCAGCGGACCCTGCCACACTTCAGGTGCCCAGGACACAGGACTGCCCATGGCTGGGAACGACATAAAATGCCACTTGGAAAACCCTCATGAGGGTTTGGGGCCAGATCCTGATGCTCCCTTGGGTTGAGTGCTCCTGCAACTAGGTACTGAAAGCAGCAGGTCCCCATGGCTAGAAAGACCCACAATGCCAGTGACTGCTGCCATCGATGCTCTAGAAGTGACAAATGCATCATTTTGATGAGATCCCACTAAATAATTCACAGGGAGCTGGGGATTAAGACAATGTTCTTCTCCATCTCTGCTGGGATTTAAAGCATGTCCATAGGGGAGAGCAGAAGGAGAGCCCTTGTCCCTCTGCAGCCAGTCTCTGGGGACCACAGCCCCCGCTGCCCACTGGCATCCGTGCCCCGGCATTAGTGTCAACAGTCCCCCCCAAGCCCCGGGGCACATCTGTGAGCCAGGGTGAACAGTCACTCTCAGAGCTCAGCACACCACGGGGGGGATGCAACCACCCAAAGACTGCACAGACCCCATGTCAATGGCAACCCTGGGGTCAGGAGAGGTGGCTCATCAAATCCCTGTACCTCCAGCCCCAAGAGAGATGAGAGGAGCCTGGGAGAAGGAGCTGACGCCCCAGCAGCAGCCAGGAGCCCCTCACCCATCCTCCCGCCTCCTCCTTCCTGGCCCAAAGAGCAGGAAGGTCCCATTTATAGATGGCTGCTGCTATTCTCCCTCTTGTTTCTTTGCTTGCCTCTCTGGTTCCTCTCTTTGCTTGTTCCTGCGACGCTATGGTTTGTTGCTAAGCCCCAAAGCAAGGCTGTCAGTGCACTCATTTTTTGGATGGAGGAATGCAGGGCAGAGGGGAAGCTTTTAGTTTCTTACCCCGGCTTTCAGCAGTCTAGGCTGAAAAAGAGCCAGGGTGGTTGCTTTTGGGAACTGAACACTAAAAACAAGAAAAGACCAACTAAATTTGGGGTCTTCATTGACTCCAACACAAGCAGAAATCCCCACGTGTATCTTGGCATCTCTATGCCAGGCTGCTAGGATGGGTCATGGTCTGCAAACCCTCCCTGGCACCCACACTCTGGACAAGCCTCACCCAAATATTGGCCATTACCACCGGACAAGCCAAGAAGCAGCAAAAATCTGCCCTCAAATATGTGTTGTGAACTATTAAACAGGACAAACCCTAAAAGTCAGTGCTGTAACCAAGCAGCTCATAAAGACTACTGCATGACTGGAGCAAGAGGAAGACATTGCTTATTTTCAACTGGCTCTAATTTTCAACCTACTCCAATACCTGCCTCAGCTGGGACATGATACCTACAGGAGGGTTCACTCCAGGAGTCCAAAATACACCTTAAGATGCTCCATATCCACCCAGCAAAGCGTCTGACAGTACAAATAAAAGCCCAGTCCACGAGCAAGGGGACTTCACAGGGGAAGTGAAGGCACGCTACAGACTGACCCTATGTCTTTTAAATAAAGGACTTGGTATTTTAAAATGCTTTGTGGAAGATCTAATATACACACCTGTAAAGGAGAAGACTCACCAGTAAGTCTCAGAGGACCGAGAGTTGGAGGGATGCAGGGATGCGCACGGAGGGATGCAGCAGGGATGTGGGCTGGGGAGAGGCTTCGCTCTGCTGCTCCGCAGAGGGCGAGACTGCCGTGCCTTACGACGCAAGCTCCCCGCCTGCCTTGCGCGGGCTTTCAGCGATAGCAGCTGCAGGCAGCTATTTATATCCCATCTCCATCACCTGCACATGGCCCCCCCTGATTTTGCCAGCAATTTATCTAGGCCCAGATTTTTTCCAAAGCAATTCAGTGGCAAAGCCCCATGTTTCAAGGGCCTCTGACGTGCCTGGAGAGGATTTTGTGCCCACTGCATGTGTGGTTCAGCTTTGGTGATGGTGTGCAACCTCATTTCTTTTGAAGACCTGGCGAAGCCAGTCACAACCTAACAAAGATGCAGGCTGGCATCCTTTCTCCTTTGGTGCCATGTCCTGGAGGCCCCGGGGATGGACCCTGCTGCTGTACCCACTCCTGCCCAACCAGCTGCCTGTCCCACCGTAATGCCCACCCACCAATTAGCATCCCCTCCCACCACCACTCCTCTCCTTCCCAGCTCCGTCTCTCACTTTCTCTGCCAGGGGAATGTGAGTCAGGTTATTTTATGCTTCCATTCCTCAAAGGCTCGTATTATATAAAAAAGATGTTTTAAGTGCCTCAGGGTGTTTTGTTCCTCATTACTTCATAAAAGTGACATTAATAGCCAGAGAAGAGCACTGCCGAGTGCAATTACAGATGATGTTCCAGGTATGAAAGCTGTTTTGAGCCTGCTAATGTTTCCTAATTACAAGCCTTTTGGCACAGGGAGAGGGAAGACGCGAGTCAGGAGATGGAGAGTCGTGATGGGGCCAGACCCTTCACCTGGGAGTAGGACAGGCAGGGGAGGAGAGAGCATGGGGTTGGAGGAGAGAGCACGGGGATGGAGAAAAGCTCCATCTTCGCCGAGACCCCGGGACCAGTTCCGGGAAGGGACGCTCAGCCCTGGAGCAGCCACGCAGCTCGGCACAGCAATGCCCTGGCCGCCCCACGACAGCCCGATGGGGCGCCGCTGCTCCCACTGCGACCTCCCCGGCTCCCCACCAGCGTTTTAAGATAAATAGCATGAACCCCACGAGATCACGTAAGGATCAGCTGGACGAGTGGCACTTACCCCCGAAGGAGGGTTGGCGGTCCAGCCCAGCTCGGCCGTCGCCGTCCGCGTATCCATCAAAGTTTCTGAGGAAACACAAGAAAAGGAAAGCAAACTAGTTACTCACAAAGTTTTCAATGGCGTTATGAGCACAGAGCCACAGAAAAACATTCATTTGCTTTCACGGAATGTGCATCTGACCCTTGGAGCTGCTCAGAAATAAAGCAGCAGGTGCCCTAATACATCTAATGAACTAAGGGCAGCTTCACTTTGGAGCAAACAGTGCAGGACAAGACTCTTCGCAAAGAGTCACGGCCTGAGTCCAGCCCACGCTGCCATCTCTGACTCTCCCAAGCCTAGAAAAGGAAAATAGCATTACCAACTAAAAAAAATTTAAAAAATTAAGAAGGATGCTGCAATTTCATGGAGTCATTACATCCATGTACAAAACCCTGTCTAAACCAGAGCAGCAAGCTTGCATTAACTCCCTGGAAGCAGCAAGAGGCTGGGGGAAAGTCTCCCACCACGGGCAGAACCCACCCTCTCCCGCAGTGCCTCCATACGGGCTTTTCAGCAGGTCCCATCTGACTCGCTCACAACTACTTGCTTCGCTCTACAACGCTAGACATCCTCTTTTATGCACTACATCTGTCCGGTGCCCTGAGTTGTCGTTGCACACAGTTATTATTTGTCAGGGTGATTTCAAATACACAAATAAAAATCACATTGTTGGAGCGGTGTTCCTCTGCTGGGGGTCTTTTGATGGAGGATCTGGTGGGAAATATTTAAAAGCTGTAATACAGCTGACATTTCCCTACTTTTATTCTTTAAAAAAACCCAACGAAACACAACAAGAATAATAGTGAGAGCAACAACATATAGAAACAGATGGGAAAATTCCTCCAGGTTTTATTTATTTGTTTGCAACAAGCAGACATGCAGATTAATTTCCTCAATTCCTGTCTCTCAACCAAATGGGAGGTTGAGATGCGCTGGCAGCGGCTGGCATAGCTGAGCATCTCCTGTCCCTCCCCTTTCCTCTATGGTCCCAGGTACTCACGGCAGCTTTGCAGCACCAGGAAAACGGGTGCAACCGGAGAAATAAAGGTCAGGAAATAAAAATCAGCTCAGGAATACAAACTGCCGCCAGACTGCTGCTTTTAATCTCTCCGCGCCTGGTCCAGCAGTCGCAACCGGGAAACGAGACTCCTATTAATCTTCCTACCCCTCCCTTTGCCGGCTGCTCCAGGATGGGAAGCCGGAGAAGCGTGACCGGGAACTCCCTGCCCTGCCGTAAGTGATAAACGCTCCCTCTCTCAAAATCCCCGCCTGAGCTGCCGACCTGGCCTGGCTCCCAGAGAGGTGAGCAGGGCCACAGAGGCAGGGAGAGCAAGGCAACCCCCCCAGAGATGGAGCAAAAAGGCACTTGGGGAGCTTGCAAAGCTTCTGCACCCCTAACGGATCCCAGGATGCTGCTGTGGCACTGCAAGGGGGGCTTCAAAGCCCACAGCCTGTTGCACCCATGCTTTGCATGGTGCTTTGCAAGGTGCCAGCCCCTTCCTGCTCACAGTGCCCTCGGAGAGGAGAAGTTTCATCCCTGGTCCGTGCAGGGAACAGAAAAGTGTGGTGGCCTTCATGCCACCGCAGCATGTCTCCATCTGCAGCTTCAGCCCCTTTCTGTTTGGCAGAAGCCAGATAAAAACAACACATCCCACCTGCAACTCCTCCCTGGCCCCAAACAGGGCTGGGGGCTCGTGCTCCAGACCTCCAGCAAGTTTCTGCTCCCACCACCCTCCATCTTCCCACTGCCACCAAGCTTTCTGTCCCTTGCAAACAGCCCTGTGCCTCGTTAAGCAGTCATTAATCCTCGCTACAGCCCTTCAGATAAGCAGGGAGACGTGCCCATGCATAAATCGATGCAAAGGTGGAAGCGAAAGGCCATGCAAACATCTCTGAGTCCCTCCTCCTGTCGGGGCAACACAGGGAGGGATGCTCTGAGAGCCTCTAAAATGCTTGGTGTTTTTCCCCACAGCAAATGGGGTGTCCTTGTGCCATGCAGGGGAAACGGGGGCAGCGGAGCCCTGGGGACCTGGACCCGGCTCACCCACTCTCTGCGGTAAAGAAGGACATGCTCCATTACAGGAAAGGCAATTCTTGCAAGGGTTTATTCAGAAAGGATTTTCACTCCATCATCTCTTCCTGTTCCACGCACTTAAAGCTTCCTTCCCCAGGCGTTTTTTTTTTCAGTGGGGTGATGACAGAGGAATGTACTTTTGTTAAAGTACAGCCACGGTGCAGGATGGTAGCATGGGAGGACTGGCTCTGCTCCAAGGTGGCATCTACCAGGATGCCTCACGGTGGCTCCCTCTGAAAATCTCACCCCTTCCCTCCTGTTCTGTTCCTCCCCAAAGGCTCCACATTTTGGAAAGAAAGCAGGAAGGCACAGCAGCAACGCCAGCATGGCACACAGCAGCTCCCGAAGCAGGAGACTTCAAAATAACTAAATAAATAGAGAAATAAATTAATAAATTGGAGAGAATCATGGAGAAGCTTTCACTTTGGAGGTTTCCAGAGTCCTAAGGGCACTGTGCGGCCTGTGGCCAGGGAGGTCACACTCGCAAAGTTTCCACTGCAGATGCATAACTTGCACTTCAACAGCTCTGCGTTTCTAAAGCAATTTGCAAACCAAAGGAAAAAGAGGGCTGAGAGCCACCACTAAAAGCCTGACCCTCTACAGACCATCTCCTGCTCAGATCCTGCCCTGACTCCCAAGGACACTGCCATATACAAGATCCATAACCTGGCAAAATAGTTTGGTTGTTTTGGTTTTTTTAAATAAAATGGTTAAACACCCCTTTCAG